TGAAAACACTCTGAGAAATATCCCAATGCAAAATCTGATTGCAAAAAGAAGTACTTAGTAGATGAATTTCTTTGGAGAGGAAATATTGTTCATTGGATGCAAAATCGAAGAGAAAGAACTCAATGCAATCAACTAAATTACGAAGAAAAAAAAAGAACTTTATCAATTTCCATATAAATCGATTAGAGGTGAAGTTGAATATGTTCCCTGTTCTTTTTTTTTATCGTTAAAGAAAAAACAACACGAATTTGTTGCTGTTTGCAATCGTTTGAAGTCGTTTTTTAAGAAAAGAAAAAATTCAACCTAATCAACTTTTGTTTCGCGATAACGATTATTATCCACATCCATATATGGAAGAAGAAAAATAAATAAAGTGGCGAAATCATAGACTCTGACATATAATCATCATTGGTACAACCGTCAAAAATGTACAATGTGTGACATACCAGCTTCTATAAATTCTTTGGCATGCGTTTGTGCGCAAATAGAAGATTGGATTAATTGGTTTTGGGACGATAAAGTTGGTGAAAAGACTGAGACATAATTGCGTTTCTTTCTTGTCGATCATATATTAAAGCGAAACATTTTATATCATCAGTGAATTGGAGTTTGGCAAAAATTAGAATGTGTGACATACCATCTAAGTCAAGTTTTTATTTATGCCTTTGTACACAAATGAAAGATTGGGTTAACTGGTTCTGGGACGATAATCTTTGTGAAAAGTTTGAGCATTTTATCCATTTTTTATTGTGGATGATGTTTTGAAGCGAAACAATTGATATCATCAGTAAATTGGACTTTGGACTTTCCATATTATCATTCAAATTAGACTTTGGTACCGTGGCCGGTACGGGTCACCAGAAAATAATTTAGAAAACATAACAAACAATAAGAAAACATCACTCAAAATCATACTACACATTTCAAAATACTCACTACACATTTCAAAATACTCACTACACATTTCAAAATACTCACTACACATTTCAAAATACTCACTACACATTTCAAAATACTCGCTACACATTTCAAAATACTCACTACACATTTCAAAATACTCGCTACACATTTCAAAATACTCGCTACACATTTCAAAGTACTCACTACACATTACAAAATACTCACTACACATTTCAAAATTCTCGCTACACATTTCAAAATTCTCGCTACACATTTCAAAATTCTCGCTACACATTTCAAAATACTCGCTATACATTCGTCCCAGTCTTACCCTGGTCTGGCCTGCCCACGGTCGTCATTAGTTTACATCTACGAAATTGACGTGATGGCAGAAAGCTAATATAAATATACGCTTCCGATATTACTAACAGTTCAGTTCGCGTAAGGATATTTTGATGATATTGTGGCGATATGTTGTCTATGTGGAATTCGGCACATAGACAAACATATCGCCACAATAGCATCAAAATATGCGATACGCGTACATGAACTATTAGTAATATTTCTTCCAGGGATTTCTTGGTCTTGTTTAGACAACACAACATGAGTGGTCAATCTACAGATTACATGTAATTGTATTTGTATTGGTGATATTCGACAATCATTAGTTTAACTAATGCACTTATTGACGTGACTGGTATTGAAGTTCTAAATTTATTGCGTTTACTCGAAATTACCGAACTTTTCATTTTCTTTGGCGTTTCTTGTGCAACAAATTATAGCACTATGTGTAAATTTCCTCTTTGGTTTCCTTGTTATTTTTGTAACGCATCACACAAGGTATGTACACGACATAGCGAATGCAAATTCATATACTCAATTTTTTGCTATTAAAGTACGGACATGTGTCGAAAGCCACTGCAAATACATTTGCTGGCGATACGTAGATCGTCTAATAATGTTGTTGCCCGACCAAGTCCAGCAAAACCCTGGAAGAATTTCTGATTAGAGTTGAGCCAATATTTTCATGCTATTATCCCAATGTCCCACTTTGTTTGCCTTGTGAAATGCGGAATTATATATTTGATATGCTTACTTTATGATGTCATGTAAGTTTCGTAAATGGAAACTAATGATGACCGTGGGCACGCCAGACCAGGGTAAGACTAGGACGAATGTGTAGCGAGTATTTTGAAATGCGTAGCGAGTATTTTGAAATGTGTAGCGAGAATTTTGAAATGTGTAGCGAGAATTTTGAAATGTGTAGCGAGAATTTTGAAATGTGTAGTGAGTATTTCGAAATGTGTAGTGGGTATTTTGAAATGTGTAGTGAGTATTTTGTAATGTGTAGTGAGTGTTTTGAAATGTGTAGTGAGTATTTTGAAATGTGTAGCGAGTATTTTGAAATGTGTAGTGAGTATTTTGAAATGTGTAGTATGATTTTGAGTGATGTTTTCTTATTGTTTGTTATGTTTTCTAAATTATTTTCTGGTGACCCGTACCGGCCACCGTACTTTGGACTTTCATCAATGATATTATTTTGTATTGTATTTGAAATATATCTTTTTTTTATGAAATATACTTGTTTATATATTTTGTATTACACTTTTTTAGTTTACCTTTACACCTTTCCCAGTTAATCGAAAACATCGAGTTCCGCAACATCCACAACGATTTTCTAAAATCATTACACAAAGACATGAACAAAATCAACGCATCAAACAACGTCTTCATCTTCGCCGACAAAACAACAAACATCTATGAAATGGACGCCTCAAATTACAATAAACCACTAACAGACAATGTGACAAAGACATACAAACACACGCAAGAAGACACTGTAGAAGAAATAAATTCCGAACTAAAACTAATCGCTGACAACCTAAAATCGCCGACCGAATAAACACCATGAACCATACTCCAGCATTCATATCTTTAAAGACCACAAACCAGACTTTGAAAACAACCCCAAATGCCGCCTCATCAACCCGCAAAAGCCACCTCGGAAAAGTCAGCAAATACATCCTAGACAACATCAACAACATAATACGAAACGAACTAAAACTAAACCAATGGCGCAACACAACAGATGCTATCACTTGGTTCAAATCCATCACCGAAAAACAAAGAAAATCATTCATATCATTCGACATAGTTGACTTTTACCCTTCGATCACCGAACACCTACTGGACAAATGCCTAGCGTGGGCAAAACAATACACAACAATCACAGAAAAAGACCACACCATTATAAAACACGCAAAAAAATCACTTCTTTTCCACCAAAACAAATCATGGTCCAAACGCAACGCTACCAACACGTTTGATGTAACCATGGGCAGCTATGATGGAGCGGAAGTTTGCGAGCTTGTAGGGCTATTCTTACTCGACCAACTACAGCAACGGTACGGAAACAACGTCAGCTTATACCGTGACGATGGCCTTGCAGTCATAAAAACGAAATCTGGAAGACTCTGCGACAAAGAAAGAAAAACCCTCTCACACCTATTTGACGAGCTTGGACTAAAAATCACAGCGATGACAAACCATGAACGCACAAACTTCCTTGACGTAACATTTGACCTTAGCAACGACACCTACAAACCATATAGAAAACCCAACGACGAGCCCCTCTACATTCACAGATCGTCTAACCACCCACCATCAGTATTACGCCAACTACCCACATCCATCAACAACCGAATTAACACACTCTCATCTGGCAAAGACACCTTCGAAAATGCCGCACCATTTTACAACCAAGCTCTTAAACAAAGCAACTTCACCACCCAACTCACCTTTAATCCATCAAACATCAATGTAAACACCACGTACAACAGAAAACGTAACGTACTTGGTTTAACCCACCATACAGCAAAAACGTAAAAACACACATCGCCCATGACTTCCTACAACTTATCGACAAACATTTCCCACCAAATACTATACTCTCCAAGATATTCAACCGACACACAATACGCGTAAGCTACAGCTGCGGCGAAAACATGAAAACTTTCATAACCAGACGCAATAAGACTATTTTAAAAAGACTTAACCCAGACACAACCCAGAACAAGAACAGCCCACCAAAGAAATGTAACTGCAGACAGAAACATCTATGCCCGACAAATGGCAATTATCTGAAACCCAACGTGATTTACAAAGCCGACGTGACAACGACTGACAACAACGAAACAAAAACTTACATAGGTGTTACTGCATGAGCTTTTAAGACACGATATCGAAACCACATTAAATCCATTACGAACATTAAATACCGGAACGAGACAGAACTTTCTAAATACACGTGGACACTGAAAGAGAACAAACGTAACTACAACATTAAATGGGACTTCATCAAACAACTTCCACCTCCGAAAAAAAACCAAAGAACCTGCCGTCTTTGCCTTGAAGAAAGGCTACTTATCCTGAAAGGACGTAAAAAGAACATTTTAAATAAACGTTCCGATATGTTTAGTGCATGCCGTCATGTAACTTAACACCTTTTAGTCGATGTATATAGTCAGCAAATAATATATAATCTGTCAGTTGCCTGAAGATCGCCCTACGGCGTGAAACTCCGAGTAGCGACAGCAAACAATTGTCCATTTCATTTTAGTTCATTTTATCTTACGCTCTTCTAATATATAGAATATTGAGCGCTCTTTTATCCAGGAATATTATCCATAATAATTATATATATATATATATATATATATATATATATTGTAGCGAGAGACTTGCAGAGCGGAAATCGAATTCGTGTGATAAAAATTAATGCCCAACATTAAGTTCTGACTAGAGCCATAGAAATAGACCAAAAAAAAAAAAACAAATTGTAAAATTTAAATTTATTGTGACGTTTCGTCTTTACTCAAGACATCTTCAGACAAAATAATAAATAGGATGTTAAGACAAGATATTATATTTACAAAAAGGTGTTAAATTACTACTAAAGGAAGCGGTGTCGAATGGATACATGATAAGAAGTTAGGAAGTGAAATAAAGAGAAATTAAAAGAGGTTAAGTGGAATGGAATTTCTTTGCACATTAAGTGAAGGCTTGTGTTTAGTGATTAGAAGGCTTTCATGAATGGAGAGTTCATATGTATCGTTGGAAGAGGAGATTATTTTAAAGTCGTCTAAGTTGGGGGTGTGTCCAGTTGCGTTAACGTGAGCAAGAATGCTTGATGATGCAGGGTGGGAAACTTGGTTGCCTGTAAGGGGGGATATTCCCAAGTGCTCCGAAAATCTGGTGTGTAGATGACAACACCCTAACATCACATTCACACCTGAAGTCGAACAAAATAGAAAGCTCTCATTTCTTGAAATTGATATCTCTCGTACTAATGGAAAATTCACCACTTCCGTCTACCGCAAACCTACTTTCACTGGCCTCTTCACCAATTTCCACAGCTTCATCCCACTTACTTACAAACTTTCATTAGTCTCCTGCTTACTTCACCACATCTTCAATCTTTGCTCTACTTACGAAAATTTTCATACACAACTCGAATTTACCAGAAAGTCACTCACCAAAAACGGTTTTCCTTCACGTATAATTGACCAAATCACACGCCGCTTCCTTAAAAACACCTTTGACCCTAAACCACCTGTCTTAACTGCTCACAAAATGCCCATCTATTTCTGTCTTCCCTTCACCGGTATAAACTCCCTTCAAATTCGCACACAAATCAATAGCCTTTGTGCTGCAGCCTTCCCACATATATCCATTAAATTTGTTTTCCGCCTTTTCAACGTATCTCTTCTTTCTTCCCCTTTAAGGACAAAATTCCCAAACCTCTGAGGTCTGATGTAGTCTATTTATTCAAGTGTCGAAGCTGCAACGCTTTGTATGTGGGTCAAATCACACGTCATCTACACACCAGATTTTCGGAGCACTTGGGAATATCCCTCCTTACAGGCAACCAAGTTTCCCACCCAGCATCATCAAGCATTCTTGCTCACATTAACGCAACTGGACACACCCCCAACTTAGACGACTTTAAAATAATCTCCTCTTCCAACGATACTTATGAACTCTCCATTCATGAATGCCTTCTAATCAATAAACACAAGCCTTCACTTAATGTGCAAGGAAACTCCATTCCACTTAACCTCTTTTAATTTCTCTTTATTTCACTTCCTAACTTCTTATCATGTATCCATTCGACACCGCTTCCTTTAGTAGTAATTTAACACCTTTTTGTAAATATAATATCTTGTCTTAACATCCTATTTATTATTTGTCTGAAGATGTCTTAAGTAAAGACGAAACGTCACAATAAATTTAAATTTTACAATTTGTTTTTTTTTTTTGGTCTATTTCTATGGCTCTAATTAGAACTTTATGTTGGGCATTAATTTATATATATATATATATATATATATATATATATATATATATATATATATGTGTAGTGGTGTTGAGAAAAATACACAAAAACTACAATTTCATCCCGACAAGCCTGTTTCGTGATTTCTCACTCTTCAGGGGATAATATTAAATGAATACAAAGCATGTGCTAGATATATATACAAGAGGAAGTTAGGTTGAAAATTGAGATAGAATTACATAATATATTGAGTGTACGATTACAAATTACATAAAAGTGCTTTGTGTCTATGGCGACAAGAGGAGACAAGTTCGTTACGTTTGTTGAGTGATGATAGTTGTGGTTGGTAGGTGATGAAGAGTTTTCTTTCAGGCATAGGTTGCATCTTTTGTTGGCGCTGTTGTACGGTTTGCTGTGAGTAATGATGTTCCATGAGATATTGTGAGCGATGTTGTTGTCTTTTAGTGTCCATATGTGTTTGCTGAGTTCGGTGGAGTTTCTTAGTTTTTGTGGCGAAAGAGGCAGTATGGTTTCTGTGTCGAGTCTTAAATTCGTTTTCTGTAAGTCCGATGTAGGTCTCAGTTGTGTTATTGTCTAAACGTTTAACAGTTGCTTGGTAGATGACAGATGATTGTAGGCAGTTTCCGTTAAGTGGGCAGTTTTGTTTTTGACGGCAGTTGCATGTTTTTGTTTGTGTATTTTTGTCATTGATGGTGTCATTGGTATTGTCAGGTTCTCTCAATATGCGTTTGTTATGGTTATTAATAATATGTTCCATATTGTTCATGCAGCTGTAACTTAATTTAATTGTGTTGCGGTTAAATAGTTTTCTGAGTTTGTGGTCTATGGGAAAGTGCTTGTCAATTAGTGAAATGAATTTGTAGCCGATGTTTGTGCTGACGTTCTTGCTGTATGGTGGGTTGTACCAGAGTATGTTATTTCTAAGTCTGTTTTTCCGTTTCGTAGTAGCGTTTGGGTCATATTTCAGCGTGTAATGATATCCATTTTCGTCAAGTGCTTTTTGGTATGGAGGGGATTGCTTGGTCGAATGATGCTCTGTCGGATGATAAGGATGAAAGGCGTTTGTTAATGGTATCGGGTATGTTCTTTGTGATGCTTGGAGGATGGTTGCTTTCGTGGTGGATGTATTGCAAAGAGGTGTTAGGCTTAGTGTAAGGTCGATGGGAAGAATTCTTTAGATCGAACGTAATGTCGAGGAAGTTGATGACTTTTTTGTTAGCTTCGATAGTGATACGCAATCCGTTGTTGTTAAATACGCGGCATATCTCTTTTTTAATTTTTTCTGTTTCTTTAGGTGTTGCTTTAGTAATGGCTAGTCCGTCGTCGCGATAGAGTCCTATGTTAGTAATGATGTGTTGCAGTTGTGAGTAGATAGCTTCCTACGAGTTCGCATGTTTCGGCGCCGTCGAAGCTGCCCATTGTCACGTCGAATGTGGAGTTGTATTTCTTTTGCCATGGTTGTTGGTTGTGAATGAGGTATGAGTTCTTGGCATGTATGATGTTTCTCTCTTGGTTTGTGATGTTGTCGTAGGTTGAGGCGAATTCAAGTGCTTTGTTTAAGAGGTCTTCGTTGATAGACGGGTAGAAGTCTACAATGTCGAAAGATATGAAATTGTGATTTTGTTTGTGTTTGATGGAGTTGAACCACTTGATGGCAGATGACGAGTTTTTCCATTGGTTCAGCGAAGTGGCTTTTATGATATTGTTGTTTATTCTGTCAAGTATTTTTTTGCTAATTCTTCCAATTTCAGATTTCGTCGGGTTGATTAGTCGGCACGTGGGTTTATTTGCGAAGTTCGGTTTGTGATCTTTGAGTGTTATGAATGCGTCTTTGTTAGCGGTGGAGTCTACTCTGTCAGATATACCCAGTTGTGATGTGATATTTTTGTCTTCGGCGTGGATGGCTTGTATTGTGTCGACGTTTATTTTCTTGTATGATTTCGTGATATTTTGTTACGAAATATCTTTATAACATTCAGAAAAAATTAAAAAAGAGATATGCCGCGTATTTAACAACAACGGATTGCGTATCACTATCGAAGCTAACAAAAAAGTCATCAACTTCCTCGACATTACGTTCGATCTAAAGAATTCTTCCCATCGACCTTACACTAAGCCTAACACCTCTTTGCAATACATCCACCACGAAAGCAACCATCCTCCAAGCATCACAAAGAACATACCCGATACCATTAACAAACGCCTTTCATCCTTATCATCCGACAGGCATCATTCGACCAAGCAATCCCTCCATACCAAAAGCACTTGACGAAAATGGATATCATTACACGCTGAAATATGACCCAAACGCTACTACGAAACGGAAAAACAGACTTAGAAATAACATACTCTGGTACAACCCACCATACAGCAAGAACGTCAGCACAAACATCGGCTACAAATTCATTTCACTAATTGACAAGCACTTTCCATAGACCACAAACTCAGAAAACTATTTAACCGCAACACAATTAAATTAAGTTACAGCTGCATGAACAATATGGAACATATTATTAATAACCATAACAAACGCATATTGAGAGAACCTGACAATACCAATGACACCATCAATGACAAAATACACAAACAAAACATGCAACTGCCGTCAAAACAAACTGCCCATAACGGAAACTGCCTACAATCATCTGTCATCTACCAAGCAACTGTTAAACGTTTGAACAATAACACAACTGAGACCTACATCGGACTTACAGAAAACAATTTAAGACTCGACACAGAAACCATACTGCCTCTTTCGCCACAAAAACTAAGAAACTCCACCGAACTCAGCAAACACATATGGACACTAAGACAACAACATCGCTCACAATATCTCATGGAACATCATTACTCACAGCAAACCGTACAACAGCGCCAACAAAGATGCAACCTATGCCTGGAAGAAAACTCTTCATCACCTACCAACCACAACTATCATCACTCAACAAACGTAACGAACTTGTCTCCTCTTGTCGCCATAGACACAAAGCACTTTATGTAATTTGTAATCGTACACTCAATATATTATGTAATTCTATCTCAATTTTCAACCTAACTTCCTCTTGTATATATATCTAGCACATGCTTTGTATTCATTTAATATTATCCCCTGAAGAGTGAGAAATCACGAAACAGGCTTGTCGGGATGAAATTGTAGTTTTTGTGTATTTTTCTCAACACCACTACACATATATATATATATATGTGCTCTTAAGCATCAAGCACGCTCTGCTCTTAAGCATCGAGCACTGTACTTACGGAGATTCAAATAAACAAAACTTCCTATATATATATATATATATATATATATATATATATATATATATATTTATATATAAGTTTGAAAATTTGTAATCCTGGCATTTAATACATAAAAGATAAAAGTTTCTCCGTATTTAAAGTGAGTTTTATTGAGCTTTCGACTCGTTGCTTCGAGCTTTCATCAGAATGAAAAATATTTATTTACACGTGCTTTTTAGCCTGGAGACGTTTAGAGCGTTTAATTGGATGAGTGGGTGGATTAATGTGATTGGATGGGGTGAAATGCGTTGTCGTGGGTTTTGGTGCATTGTGAATGTGATTGGTGTTAATAATATTAGAGTGTAGTGTTTTAGTTTTAGTTTTGTTTGTAGTTTTTTTGTCCTTTTTCTTTAGTTGTGAGTATATGATGGGTATGTTGATATGTCTATTTATTGTGTCGTTGTCTTTACCCTACCAAGCTTTTTTAAATTCGCGTGCGTGTTTAGTCTGTGCGCGTCCGAGTACTTTAGTTTCTGTCCAGTGGAATGTGTGGTTGTTTCCGAGGGTATGTTCTGCCGGTAGTGAGGTCGGATCTCGTCGTTTTATGGCGTTTGTGTGTTCTGTGAGTCTTGTTTCAATTTTCTTAGATGTTTGTCCTATGTATTGCTTTGAACAGTCTTTACATGGTATCATGTAGGTTGCGTCAGTTGTATCATAAATTGTTGTTTTGTATTTAAGTTTGGTTTCGGTTTTTTGTTGCTTTTGTCGGTTTGTGTTTTGTTTTGTCTTTTGTATAAAGATTTGTTTATGAAGTTTCTAGGGTAATTGTTTTTAATAAATGTGGAGTATAAGTAGTTGCATTCTGTTATTTTGGCTTCTTCCGTATTACAATGAGTGTTTATCCTGTTGAAAATTGTTCGAATGCAGCTTATTTTGTGTTGTGTTGGGTGATTGCTGTTGAAATTGAGTATTTGATCTGTGTGGGTGGTTTTGCGGTATACTTGTGAGTTTAGTGTACCGTCATCTGCTCTGGTTAGTAGGATGTCGAGGAAGGTAAGTTGTTTGTCGTGTTCTTCGTGGTATTGTTTATGGTGTGTAGGATTTGTTCAGTTTTGTCTTTCTTGACTATGGCAAAGATGTCGTTGACATATCTTTTCCATAGTCTGATGTTTGTGTTCTTTGTGACTGATTGTGTTTGGAGGTGTTGCATGGCAGCTTCAGCGAGGAAGGTAGATAGTGGTGATCCCATTGGTGTGCTTGAAATTTGTCTGTAGTATGTGTTTGGAAGGTGAATTCAGTGGTGAGACAAAGGTTGAGTAAGTCTAGGATGTCATTTTTGTCTAGTTATGTTGTAGCTTGCCAAGTTTTGTCGTTTGTGAGTAGTCCGTTTGTAATTTGTTTGGCAATGTCTAGTGGTATGGATGTGCAGAGTGATGTCACGTCGTAGGATATCATGATTTCGTCTGGTCGTAGTTTAATGTTTTCAATACTGGCGAGGAAAGTGGTGGCATTTCTGATGGTGTGAGGTGAATTTTTGACTAATGGATATAGAATGTTATAAAGATATTTTGAAAGTTCATACTTAGGTGATCCTGGAAGCGATACGATAGGTCGAAGTGGGTTGTTTTCTTTATGGATTTTTGGTAGTCCGTAGAATTTGGCGGTGGATGCGTCATTAAGTCTGATTCTTCTGTAGTCATTTTTGTTTAGTTTCTTTTTGTCTTTTAGTTGTTTCAGTTTCTGGTTGATGCGGTTGGTGGTCGTTTTGCTGTGGTCTGTGTGGAGAAGTTCGTAGGTGGTGGTGTCTTGTAGGAGGGTTTTGGCTTTGTCGATGTATTCTTATCTGTCCATGATAACTGTTTTGCGTCCTTTGTCAGCTTGTAATATGATTATTTGGTCGTCGTTTTGTAGGTTTTTAATTGCTCGTAGTTCTTCGTAGTTTAGGGTGACAGGTTGTTTGTGGCAGAGGTTATTTGTGATTTTGTGACGAATGTCTTCTTGATGAATAGACCTGTCACCCTAAACTACTAAGAGCTACGAGCAATTAAAAACTACGAATCATAAAGCTGACAAAGGACGCAAAACAGTTATCATCAGACAGAATACATCGACAAAACAAAACCCTACAGACACCACCACCACGGCTCCACACAATCCCAGCAACACCACCAAAAGAAACTGACTAAAAGACAAAAGAACTAAACGAAAACGACTACAGAAGAATCGACCGAATGACGCATCCACCGCATCGGACAAAACCCTTCGACCTATCATCGCTTTCACCACGTATAATCTTTCAAATATCTTTATAACATTCTGTATCCATTGGTCAAAGTTCACCTACATCGAAATGCCTTCCTCGCCATTAAAACATTAAACTATGACCGAACAAATCATGATATCCTACGACATCACTCTTCACATCCATACCACTGAACAATGCCAAACGAACTACTCACAAACGACAAAATTGGCAAGCTGCAACACAACTAGACAAAATGACATCTGACTTACTCAACCTTGTCTCTCACTGAATTCACCTTCAAACACATACTACAGTAAAATTTCAGGCACATCAATGGGATCACCACTATCCACCTTACTCGCAGAAGCTGTCATGCAACACTTCCAAACACAATCAGTAACAAACAACACAAACATCAGTTTATGGAAAAGATATGTCGACGACATCTTTGACATAGTCAAAAAAGACAAAACTGAACAAATCCTACACACCATAAACAATACCACAAAGAACATTACCTTTACTAAAGGCGAAGAACACGACAAACAACTTACCTTCCTCGACATCCTATTATCCAGAACAGATGACGGTACACTAAACACACAACTATACCGCAAAACCGCCCACACAGACAAAATACTCGACTTCAACAGCTATCATCCAACACAACACAAAATAAGCTGCATTCGAACACTTTTCAACAGGATAAAGACTCATTGTAATACAGAAGAAGCCAAAAAAACAGAACGCAACTACTTATACTCCACATTTATTAAAAACAATTACCTAAAACTATATATAATACAAAACAAAACACAAACCGACAAAAGAAACAAAAAACAGGACGAAAAAGTAAAAATCGGCACATTACCATACATAAACGGAACATCAGAAATGACTGCCAGACTTCTTCGACCATTTAATATAACGTCGCCCACAAACCTACACAAAAACTCAAATCATGTTTCACCAAACATAAAGATGAAACAACAATTCATGATACAACTGACGCGATCTACTTGATACCATGTAAAGACTGTTCAAAGCAATACATAGGACAAACATCTAATTTGAAACAAAACAGGACGAATCCGAACTCATACCGGCAGACAGAACACACTCGACTGGACAGAAATTACTGACGCGCACAGACTCGCACGCGAATTTAAAGAACTTGGTACAAAACGCACGCAATAAACAGACATATCGACATAATCATATACTCACTACAAAAAGGACAAAAACTACAAACAACACCAAAACTAAAACACTACACTCTAATTATATTAACACCAACCATATTAACAACACACCAAAACCCATGGCAACGCATTTCATCCATTAATCCACCCACTAATCCAATTAGACGCTCTAAACGTCTCCAAGCTAAAAACACGTGTAAATAAATATCCTCATTCTGATGAAGGCTCGAAGCAACGAGTCGAAAGCTCAATAAAAATCATTTAAAAATCCGGAGAAACGTTTATCTTTTATATATTCAATGCCTGGATTACAAATTTTCAAACTTATAAAATCGACATATGGGATAGATATTCTCAG